CCCCGCCACTCTGGGCCCGGGACAACAGACCCGTTTGTCCCCCCCTATCAGCGGGCGTGCATATACTCACCCCTTTCCTCATGTTCTTGGCCAGTTGAAGGGTTCAGTGCCAAAGCGGGCCAAACCACAAAAAACCCAAAGTTGAGTTTCATGTTTTTTTGGAAAATCCGGGGGAGGTGGTGTAAATCTCGCGCCAGGCCGTACCCATATCCGCAGCAGGTCTCCAAGGTGAACAGCCTCTGGCACGTTAGAACAAGGCAGGTAAGGGAAGTCGGCAAGTTGGATCCGTAACTTCGGGACAAGGATTGGCAAGCAGGGGTCCTTGCCTGAAGCAACAACAAAATCTTGTTTCACCTCGGTCCCTGTTCCTGCCTCGTTTCTTTCTTCTTATTAGGGTCCGAGGACCCCTACTTGCAAAGCAAGCAGTAGTGTTTCTTTCTTTCTTTCTTATTATTATTTGCTTGACGCACACAAAACCCTTAATTTGACCCCCTAAACACGCTCAAAAACTCACCAAAATTGGCACGCATCTCTGAATCGGTGAAAAATTTGATAAAATGAAAAAAAAAAAAACACAAGAAAACCTCTCTAGCGCCACCTAGTTACAGAAAGACACACTAAAACGGCCCTAGCGGCCAGTAGGAATAAACGCTGCTTGCTGCATTAACGTAATATAATTCCCCTAATATGTGTGTGTAGTGTTTGGTTTCTGTAGTGGTACAGATTTTGTGAATTGACGGAAGAATTTTTTGTGTTTGTTTGTCATTGGCTGTCAAGGTATGTGTCCCGTCTTGTACTGAACATCTACTGCAAATGCGTTGAATGCTTCGCAGTACAACAGGGGTACAGATTTTGTGAATTGATGGAAGATCTTGTATGTTTTTTTTATTGGCTGTCAAGGTCCGTAATAAACAGAAAGTCGGCTTTGAATACAAAACGCAGAGAACTGATTCTACCGGTTACATATGCATATGTACATTAAAAGAGAGGAGAAGAGTGAAGTTTGTCAACATTTTCTCTTTTACTCGTCTAATAATGAACGTTTTAAGAACCAGACATCAAGACTTTCCATCTATCACATGAATACATGATATTATGTTCATATGTTAAATACGGATGCAAATTTAGACGTGAAATAACCATTCAGCTGTTACATGGTAGATATTAAACTGCAATGCACCACATTCCCACAGGTGAGCAGTCTGAATACAGATACATTCCCATTACATTACACTTTTAAATATATTGCATTGTGTATTTGAAAGATTAATTGGACTTTTTGCCACAGGTTAATAATGAGTATGTGTTAGATGTGTCGCCAACATTCCCACAGCAAGCATGCAGCATCGATTCAGTGACCACCAAGAATAATATCTGCAGTCCTAATGCTGATATGGAGCTGCAAGGCAACAGTTGTAATTGTCAACAACTATTAACCTTTTAAAAAACCCTATATGGTGCATACTGGTTAGATTTGGCCCGATTTCAGTTCAGAATGATTTGCTACCAACAATTTTTTAGAATCAGGCCTAGTTTCAGTCAGACGGAAGGTTTGAGGATATAACGCACAGAAGTGGAGTATCTGTGCAGCACAACTAACAGCACAGTGACCTGCAACACAACTT